CTCAAGTTCTTTGCTTTTGTGCCCTGTGGGCTTCTGATATAAATAACAATATGACTTAGTTGTATTTTACTATGTCACTTGAAGTCGAATCTCATGGACACTCACCTATGTGGAAATGTACCCAGAATAGTATCTTTATGCTTTATATCTCTAAGAAGAGTTTAAAATGCCTACATAGCCATCAAGTATATGGAATTTCTCTATTAATAACTGAAAAAGCAGAAAAGAAGTCAAAATTTCTTATAAGAATGGCTTATAAGAGAACCAATTTCATGTTGTGGTAGCTATTTGCCAATATTCCTGGAGGGGTCAGAAGTAGCCCAAGGATCTCACACGGATTTTGCAAAGATGGCTCCAAATTTAATTATTCTTACTGAACTTACATTTATCTTACTGGACAGTTCTACCTAATTAAAAAAGTTCTTTCTATGATTAAGTTTTGCTTGTCACTCACAGTTTAAAAGTTTAATTATTTGTAGCTTCTAATTGGCATGGCATAAATGAACCATAGCATTGAATTCAGGGCCTTCTAACCCTAACATCTCTCTTGATTTGAAATGTATGTTCCCTACAGAGAGGTGCTCATTATCGAAATGCTGAGTGGTTTTTCCCTCTTAGAAGGGGCAAAGCAGCACAGAGAAGACAATTCTAATGCTGAAGGAGGCTTGATGAAGAATCCGGGGTTTTGTTGGTGCTGGTGGCTTCTATATAATTAGGAGGCTGAGATCTGAGGGCTGTGGTTTGAAATCAACCAAACAGAAAAGTCTGTGGGACTCTCATCACCCATTAACCACCAAAAAGCCAGAAGTGAAGTTATAGCTCAATTGGCAGAGTGCCAGCCTTCAGTGAAAAAGCTAAGAATACCACCCAGACTCTGAGTTCAAGCCCTAGTACCACCAGTACTGGCACACACAAAAAAATCCACACTATAAGGATATTGTCTGATCACCAACTCTAAACAAGAAAGGAACCTAGAATTATGCAGCCCCACCTGCCTGAGAGAGAGAAGCCCCTCGGGACATGATATATGATCATTTGTGTATTTGTTTTAATGTAACTAAAGAAATAAGATAAAAATTACTATTAATGTATAAAATAATCATGTCATGTATACATTTATTTGAATGATATTAAATACATTAATACTGTAAAACTGTTATTGTAACTGCCATTTTCAGAGCTTTTCTGTTGTCCCAAACAATAATTTGTACGTATTAAATAATAATTCTCCATTCCCCGTTGCTCAACCCCCTGAGAGCTATCATTTTTCTTAAGAATTTGACAATTATTAGATTTTCATATAAGCAGAGTCCTACAATATTGTTATTTTGTCTGGTTTATTTCACTTAGCATAATGTTTTTAAGGTACATCAGTGTTGAAGTATGTATCAGATCATCATTCCTTTTTATGGCAATGTCATAGTCCACAATATGTGTATATGCCACATTCTTTTATTTATTTATCTACTAATGGGCACTGAATTGTTCCCACCTGTAGGCTCTTATGAATAATGTTGCTTTGAATTTTGGTAAACAAGTATCCATTTGTAAGCCTGATTTTAGTTCTTTTAGATATATACCTAGGATTAAACTTCTGGGTTGTATGGTCATTCTACATCTACCTTTTGAGAAACCATCAAGCTGTTTTCCACTGTGGCTGCAACATTTCATATTCCCACAGTAATGTATATGGGTTCCAACTTTCCCTGCTTTCACTGCTATGTTTTTTCATGTTTTGTTGTTGTTATTGCTTTGTTTTTGCCATAGCCATCCTAATGAGGAGGAAGTAGTACTTTTCCCTTCCCCTCTCCTCTCCCCTTCTATCCCCTTCTCTTCCTTCTCCCCTCCTCTCTAGTTCTCTCCACTCCTCTCCTGTTCTCTCCTCTTCTCTTCTCTCCTTTTCTTTTCATGCAGGTCCTGGGGCATGAACTCAGGGCCAGCGTGCTGCTGTCCCTGAGCTTTTGTGTTCAAAGATAGTGCTCTACCATTTGAGCCATAGCTTTACTTCCGACTTTTTTGTTGATTTTTGTTGTTGTTGTTGGTCTTGGGGCTTGAACTCTGGGCTTGGCACTTTCGCTCAGCTCTTCAGCTCAAGGCTGGTGCTCTATCACTTGAGCCACAGCACCACTTATGGTTTTCTTGTGGCTTATTGGAGATAAGAGTCTCATGGACTTTCATGCCTGGGCTGGCTTTGAACCATGATCTCAGATGTCAGCCACCTGAGGAACTAGGATTACAAGTGTGAGCCACTGTCATCTGGTGGTTATTAATTGGAAATAAGAGACTCATGGACTTTCCTGCGTGGGCTCGATTTGATCCTCAGTCTCAACCTCCTGAGTAGCTAGGGTTACAGCATGAGGCACTGACACCCAGAAAATGAAGGTTATCTTCAACACTGTCTATGCCAGGGAGCTCAAACAACACCAGGGTGCTATTGCAGACCATCCTGAGTTGATGGGAAGATCTTTTTTTTTTTCTTTTTGGTCGGTCGTGGGGCTTGAACTCTGGGCCTGGGTGCTATCCCAGATGGGAAGATCTTTTATTTTTTTTTAAATTTTATTTTATTTTATTTGTGAACATACTGTACAGAGGGGTTACAATTGCATGGGCAGGATAATGCGTACATTTCTTACCAAGCATTGCAGCCTCCTCCTTTGTTTACCCTTCCCATCCCTTCCAGATGGGAAGATCTTTTATATCTAGTATTAAGTCTTGCCCCTCCTCTAGCAGGGATATTTACCCTACTTGCACTTCAGAACCATTTCAGAAAAACATTCTGATATTCACTTGTGAACCAGACCATTTATATCAGTATCACTGAGGATGTGTGCCCAGCATCAACAGATAGTGAAGACTGAAAACCATTAACTAAGGTTGATTTGCTGGCTGGAGTCATACTTCACAAAGTGAGATGGGCAGTCTTGTCACTGAGCTTCTCTGGCAAGGCCCTGACAAGCAGCCAGCCCTCTATGCCTACTGGCAGTGCTAACTCCTTACTCTCCTAGACCTGTTATCTGCTAACTCTTTATATAGTTTCTGTGGATCTATGTACTGTCTCTTCTTTTTTATCTGTGGTACTCGGGTTTGAACTGAGGGTCTTGCCCTTGCTAGGCAGACAAGATATCACTGAACTATACTGCCAATGTTATTTTTCACTAATTATTTTCAGGACAGGGTGTTATTTCTATGGCAGATGCATACCGGAGCCCCAGTCTGCCTAATGTCTTCCCATTATTTCTAGAACCACAGGCACGGACTACCATGTCTAGCTTCCCTTCATATGGAGATGGAGTCTCATGGACTTTTCTATGGAGGCTGGCCTAGAAGTTTGATCCTCCCCAATCTCAGCCTCTCACCTTGGGATGCTAGGGAAGCAACACTGCACCCAGCTATGTATGAAGGAGTGCCTGGAATGTTTGTATCTGGGTCAGTCTTGAACCATGATCCTCCCTTTCAGAAGCTAGACTTTTCTTTCTTGCTGTAGTTTCCCTAGGAAATACAATGGCTGACATAGAATAGGTGCCCAGAAAATAGTATTGTATGAACAAATCTGAAAATTTAAACTTTAAGTAGCAGGCCTGTGGATCATTACAAATCACAATCTCTAAAGCTTCTCTTCTCTGGATGAAATCTCTGTATTTTCAGCCAATCTTAAAGACACAGCAAATTGGGCATTGAGGGCTCACACTTGTATTCCTAATTACTCAGGAGACTGGGATCTGAGGCCCACAGTTCAAAGCTAGCCCGGACAGGAAAGTCCATGAGACTCTTATAGCTCAAGGACGAAGCCCAAGCCTTGAGTTCATGCCCCAGTACCAGCACAGATACACATACACACACACACACACACACACACACAGACACACACGCACACACACACACACTGCAGAATAAACTTCACCATTGTGAATATAGTGTCCTTCATTCTACCTGAAAACAATCAAGAATGTGTTACATATATCTCCTCATATTTCATACCCTGTACAACAGACATTGTTCCAGACACTGGGAGCTATCTTGAAAAAGATAACCAAAGTCAGTCTGTGGAGGCAATGTATAAATCAATCAGTAAGTCATTTCAGAAAATAGTTTATGCTATAAAAATTAGAACTCTTTGAGAAGCTTTGAGCCTTCTTTGAAAGAACTTTTTATCGTACGATGACAATAAACCCCCTTTCCTGTAATTTTTGCATAACTTGTAGATATTATGCTTTCATTGATAAAATACACTCAATTTGAGTTAATAAAACCAAATTCTGAATTCTCACTGGGAAAAAAGTGTTTGTAGAATTAAGTCAAAAGCAGAATTTACATAAACATTAATTGGAACTTTGACACAAGTAACGTGTGCTTGGCACCAAAAGAAATGTAATTCAGGGAGAGGAAAAAAAAAGCCCCTGACCTGACTTGTGGGTTGCTGTTTCTCCTGTGACTTCAGAGAACCTGAAATCAGTTTGTCCAGGCAATCTGACACAAGGACAACCTCCACGCATGGTCTTCTCTCCCAGCATCCCTGTAAACAACAATTTCTGCATGGCCTAGAATAGAGTTCCATAACCAGGATGACACTTTTATTTGTTTATAAGATCCTTGCTCCAGCCCTGCCCTTCATTCATCCCCTTTCCTTCATCCGATATGTAAATGATACACTGACAACATAGAAAACAGCCTCACGGGGCTTACATTGACTGATTCTGTACATGTCCCCACAAACTGACTGTGATTTACTCTTTCACGATAGTTCCCAGTGCCTGGAACAAAATAAATAATCAGAATGAACCAAAAACATCCCTGAGTACTTGTAAGGTCTCTGAAGAAAATCTAGTAAGCTCACCCCTAGAGGCCTCCTCCTGTCATAATGTAGGAGCTCTCCTGGGTAGCTTATCAGATGGTGGCTACAGACATTGGCATATGTGCACGTTGCAACTGATGGTGATGTTCCCTTCCCAAAGATTAAAAAAAAATGACTTTTCTTTCCATTGTCCCCGACTCTCCTCTAGTTCTTCATGGTTTTTTGTATGCTCTTTTCTTCCAGTTCCAAGGAGGGCTTCGGGTCAGTGGAGAAGGTGGTGCTGCTCACATTTCTTTCGGCAGTCATCCTGATGGCCATCCTGGGAAACCTGCTGGTGATGGTGGCTGTGTGCCGGGACCGGCAGCTCAGGTGGGTCAGCATGGGGGAAAACTCTTAGGAAGCACAGGTGCAGCACTGGCTTTTCCCTGGAGAGTTAGGTTCCTTGAATTCACAGTTACAAAGAATATTCATGGGAAGAGTTTGAAAATGTAAAATTGACAATCTCATGGAGTGCTACCCGTGCAAACACTTCAGTTTCCTTCCTCTCTGTTTTCCTATATGACATTTCACTGGGTCATATGGTTGTGATCACTATTTATTCAACCCTAATCTAATCCAGCCTCATGTTACAATTGGTTCAGAGAAGGGGTGATTGAGTAGTGAGCAATGGAGCTATATTTTCTCCTACATTAACTTCACCCCTGGCTACAATTAGTATCATCTCAGATGTTTTCCAAAAGTGTTACAGAGTGATATCAGTATGTGTTGTGCAAAATTTTGTAAGGAACATGAAAAAAAACTATGTGTTGTTAAAATCCTAATTTCACTTAGCACTCATTGAATGGACAGAGACGTTATCCACCCAAAGCTCTTGAATTAACTGATTTGAGATGAGAGCTGGGTGCATTGATTACATGTTATGGCTATTTAATGGACATCTGGATGTCTATTAAAGTCATTGGGTAATCTAGGAGCTGGTAGCTCATGCCTATAATGCTAAAAGTCCCTGAGACTCTATCTCCAATTAATTAACAATAATCCTGAACTGGAGATGTGGCTGAAGCCAAGCAAGGGCATGAGACTTTAAGTTCAAACTCTGCTACTGGCATGCCCCCTGCCCCTCACACAGATGATTTTAGTATGGAGTAAGAGGCACTACTCCCTAGAAGAGGATATGAGATACCTTTCTGAGCAAGCCATGCCTTGATCCTAGGGTGACTCAAATAAAATGTAAAAGCATAATTCTGGCCCAAATCTGAGACATGTAATAACCTATCTATGAGCAGCAAATGGTGGGATGTGACCAATGGGCATGTACCTTCAGACGGCTCCCTAAGCCACTGTGGTATGTAAATAGTCCAACAGCTGGAAGAGAGAGCTTCTATGTAAAGAGCCTGAGTGAAAGCCACCATCCCAGACCACAGGGATACAGTCATCTACAGGAAATGGAGTTTTATTGTCAGCAGGGTTGACAAGACCATGTCTTTTACAGGAGAGGGAGAAATGGGCCCTTCCTTTGTTCAAGGTCAAGTTTATATGGGAGAGGGAGAGTGGGGAGGGCTAGGAGCGGGGAAGTAGGGAAGTCCTCTGCATGTGTGCAGCTGAATGCTAAAGCTGGCATCTAGCCATCTGTCCAGGGGTTTTCTGACAGTAACCATTACAGTTAGGCAGCATTCTCCTGTTGCAGCTGGGGACTTGGGGTAAAACATGGCTTTGGGAAATTAAGTGGGAGGAACAGCCAGGGCTGCAGACCAGCTGCAGTTAGGCCTGCCCAGATCTACTGGTTTTGTGGGAGGGGCCGAGGACTGAGATGCAGGGCATGTGAACCTTGGGCAGGAGCTCCAGGCAGGCAGGACCTCGGATCAGAGGGCTTTGGGTGCCAGGTGGTCTGGAGAACTCAGAAGAGGCTAGTCTGTGAAGGATCTCCTCCACATGACAGAGGAGAAGCTGAATCTCAGACTGGGTTAACTGTGTGACTTTTCCTTCCTTTCCCTCCCACCCTTCCTTCCTTTTTTCTTTGCTTCCTTTCCACCCTTTTTGTTTTCTTGCTCTTTCTTCCCGCTCTCCTTCTGTTGCCCCTCCCCCTGCCACCTTGCTTATACCTTTTCATTTGCAGGAAAATAAAAACCAATTATTTCATTGTATCTCTTGCCTTTGCGGATCTGCTGGTGTCGGTGCTGGTGATGCCCTTTGGTGCCATTGAGCTTGTCCAAGACATCTGGATTTATGGGGAGATGTTTTGCCTCGTCCGGACATCTCTCGACGTCCTGCTCACAACAGCATCCATTTTTCACCTATGCTGCATTTCTTTGGATAGGTAAGAGCAGAGCAACCAGAGCAGTGAAATTCGGTGCAGGAGGCAATTTATGGCCATGGCACAGTGTCTCTCTCTTTTTCCTAATTCGTGACAAGAAATGAATCTCCAAGAAAAAAAATTAGTAGTTTGGTTATTCATCTACTCCTATCTTTTGCAAAGAGCCCTTTTTAGCAAGCATTCCACAAGTTCTTGTAGACCCAATGATTCATAAGATTTAGGAACCACCTCAAAGAGCTTATCGCTCTTTGTGATAGATACCAACAGTTGAGTTGACTATAGCTCACTGGATTTTTTACTAATGACATGGACAAAATTCCAAGCAGCAAGAATGAATGCATCTTCCTTGGAAGGCAGCATGGCCAATTCAAACTGATGGGGCTGTATGTTTGCACATGATCTCTTTCTAAAATGTCTATGTGTTGCCGGGTGCCCGTGGCTCATGCCTGCAATCTTAGTTTCTCAGGAGTTGAGATCTGAGGATCGCTGTTGGAAGCCAGACTGGACAGGAAAGTCTATGAGACTCTCAGTTAACCACTAGCAAACCAGAAGTGGAGCTGTGGTTGAAAGTGGTAAAGCACTAGCCTTAAGCACAAAAGCTCAGGGACAGCATGCAGGCCCTGAGATCAAGCCCCATGACCAACAAAGAAAAAGTTTAAAAAAACAAAAAATAAAATGTGTCTATGTGATAATGTCTAGCTAAGTGCATGTGATTGTGAGGATTCTTTTCTAGAAAGCTAAAAATAGTTATAAGATCTTTCATGATTAGAGGTAGGAGCTAAGACTAGAATTTCTGCATGATTTCATTCTTTTGTTTGTATTTGACCTCAAGAAACAATGATTTCTATTTCTACCTCATTTGTTGGAGATCCATGTTTATCACTTGTGTCCTTACTTTTCAATTCTCTTTTTTTTTTTTTTTGGATCCAGTCGTGGGGCCTGAACTTTGGGCCTGAGCGCTGTCCCTCAGCTCTTCAGCTCAAAGCTAGCGCTCTACCACTTGAGCCACAGCACCATTTCCAGCTTTTTTCTTTTTGCGTATGTGGTGCTGAGGAATCGAACCCAGGGCCTTAGGCATGCAAGGCAAGCGCTTTGCCACTGAGCCAACTTCCCAGCCCTACTTTTCAATTCTTGCTCATTTGTATTGAATAATAAATGCAAAATGCAATTTAAAAGTCAGATGATTCCAGGAACATACACTACCGTTACCAAAGTCTGAGGGGTTAGCTACCAAAAGAGCATGTGGGACCAAAGCAACATGTAAAGAAAATTACCAGGAGCAACCTCTTAATATCTCCTAAACAATCCAGAGTATTGTCATATTCTTCTCCTTCCCATCTTGGAAAAGATCACTATTTCTTTCATGGATAACTAGGAAGAGTAGTTAAGTGAAATTAGATATTGTGGTATATCTAAAAATGTGTACCTATAAACAGTACAATCATGTCCTCTATTCTCAGTGAAGCACTCACAGTGAAGGAAGTCTTCAGCGACTAAAACTGAGGGAATGGTAGATTTATGTCCTGTCTCAGGGGATATGGGTTCTTTTATTGGAAGAGCTGGCATAAAGGCCTGGTCTGTGTAATCACTCTTTCTCTATTGCTCTGCCAACAGTACATAGTTGAACGTATCTATGTTTCATGCACATATGATCAAACTCTACAGGTAGAGATAAAGACATGTAAAATAGAACTGTTGGTCTGCAGCCAGAACCATCAAGTCCTAGTCTGAAGTTTTTGTTTACTAGTTTATTTAAACAGCCAGATTCCAATATGTGTGTGTGTGTGTGTGTGTATACACGTTCACATATGGACATGTCCATACATCAGTACTAGAGCTTGAATTCAGGGCCTATGCACTGCCCCTTAGCTTTTTCACTCAAAACTGGCATACTAGCTTGAGCCACAGCTCCATTTCCAGCTTTCAGCTGGTTAATTGGAGATAAAAGTCTTATAGTCTTTCTTCTTGCCCAGGCTGGCTTTGAACCATGATACTCAGATCTTAGCCTCTTGAGTAGCTAGGATTACAGGCATGAGCCATTGGTACCTGGCTTTAATATGTTCTGAAGACTTAGACTTTTTTTTGTCAATCGTGGGGCTTGAACTCTGGGCCTGAGTGCTGTCCCTCAGTTCTTCAGCTCAAGGCTAGTGCTCTGTTACCCTTGAACCACAGCGCCGCTTCCAGTTTTGTGACTGGTTTACTGGAGATAAAAGTCTCATGGAGCTTCTTGCCCCGGCTGGCTTTGAATCACAATCCTCAGATCTCAGCCTCCTGAATAGTTAGGATTATAGCGAAAGCCACTGGAGCCCAGCGACTTATACTTTTTAAAAGGCAGTTTATTTGTACTGCATCATATCTCACATTATGGAAAGTAAAATACAGGGAGTAAAAAAATTTATGAACATCCTACAGAAACCTGCACACTCTCATTGCTGTTAGCCCAGACACACTAGTGCAGGAACTTTTCAATGGTGAAGGTGGGGAGCTAGGAACTTGGGGTTTGTGCAAGAACAACAAGAAGAAAGCAGCCAGTTGGGCACAGAGTAAGGAGGAGAGAATGTAGATGCCGCTGTATGGTGTTGTTTTCTCTGGGTGTCCCTGAATGAAGGGCTGGAAATTTCTCATAAAATGCTTGCCTCATAGACTCAGATTTGTGCTCATATACTCTTTTGAAATAAGAAATCTTTCTCTGCAATGGCCTGCATTATCATGAAGCCAAATGAGTTAGTCATTGAGAAACACCTCCTTTAGAACTGAAGAGATTTAAGCTTAATTCTCAGTTTGGCCAACTTTTAACCCCAAAAGCTGCCAAGTTAATAAACCTTTCAGAGTCTCCATTTTCTTGTATCCAAAAAAGAAGAAAGCACTTATTTTGCAGGGCTGCAATTAAAAATAAATTAGATAATCCATTTAAGTTATGGCTTTGGCTCAGCTTGGCATAAGCCTCAAGTTAGTAAATGTTGTAAGTTTCAGTTTCTTGCCACTATCTGTATAAACTGTTGGGCTTTTTGTAAAGAATATTTTTATTAACTTTAAGTAGTTGTACAAAGGAGTAGGTATTGAACAAAGCACTTTAGGAATATAGTGACTCTTGAATAATGTCACCCCTTTCAACATTCTTACCCATCATTTCCTATTCCACCCCTTCTCTTGATTTTCATGATTTTTAGGTTATGTATTGCATTGTTTTGCCAGTTAAGGAAGCAGTTGATATAGACAGCTTGGTCTGTGTCATCCCTTTATCTTCTTTTTTCAACCAAAGTTGGAACTCATCATTTAATGGCTGCTCCACTAGCTTTGTCATCCAGGGACTATGTAGTTACTAATTTGGCCTTTGAAAATCAAATCCTATTGACTTCCCTTCTAAATAGATCCTAGCCTATTTTTGCCTATCTCAATCATCTTAATATCATCTCTTCCATGATATCAAATTAATGTCTATAATATGGGCTGGGAAGGTAGCTGAGTGGTAGAATGCTTGCCTTGCAGGCATGAGGCCCTGGGTTTGATTCCTCAGCACCATGTAAGCAGAAGAAAATCTAGAAGTGGTGCAGTGGCTCAAGTGGTAGAGCACTAGCCTTGAGCTGAAGAGCTGAAGGACAGTGCCCAGGCCCAGAGTTCAAGCCCCACGATCAGCAAAAACAAACAAACAAAAAATACTAATACCATGTCTTACATAATCATAAAATATCCTACTACTTATTCTCTCCAAATTAATTGTAGTAGTACCCTTGCCTTCACTGTTAGATCTGCCCCCAGAGAGCACCGCTCCTCTTCAGGAAGGACAGCATATAGCCTTACCAGAAATCACCTGCCTGAAACTGGTAATCACCTGACTGTCAATCACCTGACTATGAGCCAGCAGAAAGACCCCAGGCTCTAAGATCACTTCTTCATCTGCTGAAGTCACTTTGTAAACCACCCTGGTTGCACCTCCTTGGGACAGTGAGAGGTTCCACAGGTGCTGAGGTCACTTCCACATCGGCTTTGGGCCACACCTCCTCCTCACCTTTCCCTAGAAAATTTCTCTCCACCATCAGTCCAGCTACCACTCACTACCCACTGCACCCTGTATGCGGCTCACTGTACACTGCTCTTCACTGGCTGGTACAACTCTCTCTGCACACCTCCATCTGATGCAGGCTACCTCTTTGGTTCTCCTAATAATCTCTTCTACCTGAACCAGATGGATGCCTCCTTTTGGCAACCCTTACACTCATAAGATCAAATAGCTGGGACTACAGGTGTGAGCCACCAGCTCCTGACATGCAATTTCTTCTTAAATATCTCTTTCTCTTCAGTGGGAGGAATATCGAGGTAGTAAAAAAGTACAAGATGATTCCTGCCCTCGTGGAACTTATATTTTAGTGAGCACCTTGACAGTTAGGCATCAATTACATAAATACTTTCTTAGATACTTGCCAAGCTATATCGAACAAATGGAGTGGTCAGTGCATTACCTTTGTGAGCAGTGCTGCCAAAGTTTCCATTCCATTCTCTAATAATGCCCTTAGGAAGATGAGATCAGATGGTTTGGGTTTTCTTTAGGAGCCTGGAATCTTGTCCTTTGTTTCCAGGATGTCCTGTTCCAAGAGCGATACTCTAATTGAGTTAGAGCATTGCAGGACAGTGCTTTAGCAGAGAAGAGTAGAATTTAATGTGACATCTAGCTTTTGCTGTCTCTCCTAGTGTCACTGTTGTCCTGGGCTGGGCAAAAACAGTGACTGTGTCACTGAGGTGTGATGTCCTTGCTAACCTTGTGGTTCCTGGAAAGATGCCCTAGACATCTCCCTTGAGCTGCTATGGTCTTCTGAGATGACAAGTATTGGACAGTGTCTTTCAAGCAAAATCTTCACTGATTCCTTGTCTTCCCCACCTATGACAGACTTCTGGAACAAAGCAAAGTACAGAACTCTTAATATTGTGAAATGTGTTTTCCTAACTCCAGTTCTCCACCCATTATGTTTCCTAGGGCTTTGAGGATTTAATTCTGATAGAGAAAG